AAATAATAAATAATTAAATAATTAAATATTTTAATAATTAAATAATTATTCTTGTTTTGTTTCAAAAGGCGTACACCTGACAAACGTGGCAGTTCAAAAGACACTGGAAACGTACGACGAAGAAACAGGGGGAAAGTGGGCGTTGAAAAGTTTGAAACTTTTCTTGAAAAGCAAGTAAATACTTCTTTTTGAGAGTTTTTTTCAATTACAATCATTTAAAAGAATAAAATGAATTAATTTGCACAAAAAGCTTTCAAAAAGAACTCATTTTGGCCAAAATTCCTGTTTTCGTCAAGCCGCCTTCTTGCGGTGTACGTATACCGAAAAGTTGGTTCTTTCAGACAAATAAATAAATAACAAAATAAATAAATAAATAACTAAATAAACTAATTATTTAGTTAATTGATTAGTTAATTGACTAATTAGTTAATTGATGAATAAATAAATAAATAAAAGAAATTATTTTGATTTAGTTATTCAAATGCTGCAGGTATGGAGAGGCCCCCATAGAAGAGCTGATGAAAAATATTCAAGAAATTATTCTCAAATCCCTTTTGGCCGTACAAAAAGTAAAACGAAAATAATTGAATAATCTTTTTACAATTATTAATAATAAATAAGTTATTAAATTAAATAATTAGTTGATTGAACTAATTAATTTATTAAAATAATTAAATAATCTGTTTATTATTAATAATAATAAATACCTTATTAACAATAAACAATTAATAATAATAAATAATTAATCAACTAAAAGAATCAAATAATTTTTTTATAGCTAATAATAATGAATAACTTATGAATAATGATGAACAACAACTAATAAAAAATAATTAAATAATCCTTTTATAATTAGTGGTACTAAATAACTTATTTATAACACTAAATAAATAATTAACAAAAGTAAACAAGTATTTTTCGTGTAATTAATAATAATAAGTAAACGAGTGATATTAATAAATGATTAATTAGTAATAAATGAATAAAAGCAATTAAATGTTTGGCAATAATAAACAAATAATCGATATTTAGTTATAAATAAATTATTAATTAATAATGAATAGTGAGTAATAAATAAATGATAAATACAAGAGTATACAAAGTTAAAAAGAGTAAAAATAAATTAATAGTAATAAATAATAATAAACAGATTGCAAATAGCACTGAATATAAACGTAAATAATACACTAGTAATAAAAAATAAAACATTTGATAATAAATAAATATTAAACAACTAAATAAAGAGAGAGCGAATTGATCCAGTTACCAAAAATACTAATTAATTATTTATTTTATTTATTCGTTTCATTGAAATAAATAAATAATTAAACAAACAAACGAACAAACAATGAAGTAAATAAATAAATAAATAAATAAATAAAGAAGTAACTTAATAATAAATAAATAATAATTAATTAATGGATTAAATCGGCAAATAAATATGTAATGAATCAATTAATAAAATCATTAATTAATTAATTAATTATTTAATTAATTAATTGATTGTTTAATTAATTAATTAGTTTCTTAACCAATTAATTAAGATAGATTAATTAATTAATTAATTAATTAATTAATTAATTGGTCAGTCTATCAACTAATCAACTAATTGATTAATTAATTAATTAATTAATTGATTAATTAAATAATTAGTTTATTAACTAAATGAATAAATAAATAAATAAATAAATAATTAATTAATCAGTCTATCAACTAATTAACTAATTAACTAATTAATTAATTAATTAATTAATTAAATTGAATTTCTTTTCAGATAATTTTAAATGACAAACATTGCTGCGAACTTTACGGCTACGACATTATCGTCGACGCAAACTTGAAGTGAGAAATTAAAAATAAATAAAACAACTTTTTTAAATTAATTAAATTAAATTAAATTAATTAAATTAAATTAAATTAAATTATTTTAAATTAATCAAATCAAATTTAATTAAATTAATTTAAATGCTAAATAGTTGAATAATGAAGAATTAAACTTCTCAAAAACGAATCCTCTGCAAGAAAAAGCCAAAAAATTTGATATTAAATTACTAAATTATGAAAGTAAAAAATTAAGAGTTAAATTAAATTTTAGTTGAAATAAAGCGTTTTCTTTGCAAGCAGCAGCAGCTGCTGCTGCTGCTGATGATGATGATGACCATGCTGAAGATCATCTGCTGCTGCTGCTAATGCTGCTATTGCTGCTGCTGCTGCTGCTTCTGCTGCTGTTGCTGTTGCCGCTGCTGCGGCTGCAGGCCCTGGCTGCTGGAAGTAAACGCTTCACCTTCGTTAACAGGTGCGAACGACAAGCTGTGTTGCTGCAGCAGCAGCAGCAGGAATTGTAGCAGCAGCAGCAGCAGCAGCAGCAGCAGGAGCAGGAGCAGCAGCAGCAGCAGCAGCAGCAATGGCAGTAGCAGCAGCAGTAGCATCCGCAATCGCAGCAGCAGCAGCAGCAGCAATGGCAGTAGCAGCAGCAGTAGCATCAGCAACCGCAGCAGCAGCAACAGCAGTAGTATCTGCTTGGTTACTTTGCCCCTCTTCACGAAGAGAATGGCAGCAGCGCTTGAAGCAGCAGCTACCTGCTGCTGCTGTTGCTGCTGCTGTTGTTGTTATTGTTGCCGTTGCTGCTTATGTTGCTGCTGCTACTCTGTTGTTGCCCTTTCTGCTGCACATCTCCAAGTACACCTGCTCTGCTGCTGCATCTGCTGCTGTTGCATCTGCTGCAGAAGCATCTGCGTCTGCTGCTGCTGCTGCTGCGTCTGCTGCAGCATTTGCATCTGCTGCTGATTCTGCACATGCTGCTGCTTCTGCATCTGCTGCAACCGCTGCACCTGCTGCACCTGCTGTTGCTGCATCTGCTGCTGCTTCTTCTACAGTATCTGCTGCTGCTGCTGCTGTTGCTGCTGCTGCTGCTGCTTCTTTTTAGCAACAACTGAAGAAGACTACAAGTTCAAATTTGAAATGCTTGACGACCTCTTGACCATCGTAGACATGGAAAACCTGTGAGCAGCAGCAGAAGCAGCAGCACAAGCATCAGCAGCAGCAGCAGCAACAGCAGCAAGAACAATAGCAGCAAAACAGCAGAGGCAGTAGCAACAAGAAAGGCAGCAGCAGCAGCACCACACAACATTAGCAACATTAGCAACAATAATAGCATCTAGAAGACCAGAAGCAGCAGCAGCAGCAGCAGCAGCAGCAGTTTTTCAAGGGGTACTGTCTGCCGCGGCGATTGATCTGTCTGCTGCATTTCATTTCTTTCAATTAAACCAAATTTAAGTTCATTGGCATTTAATGAATTAATTAAATTGACTTAATTAAATTAAATTAACTTAAATTAAATTAATTAAATTTAATTAATTAAATTTATTTAATTAAATAGAATAAAATTCTTTTGTCTATTTTGCTGCTACAGTTTGAATGGGGAAGAGAAGGCCATCGGGGGCTTCGACTTAATCTTCAAAGGCAATTATCTATTCCTTTTTAATTTCTCTAAAATACTTTTTATTATTTATTTATTTACTTATTTATTTTAATTTAATTATGTTTAATCAGTTAATTAATTATTTAATTAATTAATTGTATTTATTTATTTATTTTTATTTTTTCGTTTTATTTTTTGTCTTCAGGAGAGCGCGTGGAGGTGCTGCCGAAGGAAAGCGAAATAAAATGTCTTTTAGGTAAAGAAGAAATTAAAAAGAAAAACAAAAAAATAAATAAATGAATAATAAATAAATAAATAAATTAATAATAAATAATTAATTAATTAATACATAATAAATAGATACAAAATAGTGAAGAAACGAGTAAATGAAACGGCAAACTAGTTGAAAACATGAATGCTGCTGCTGCTGCTGCTGCTGAAGGGACGGATATACCCAAAGATCGCAAAAGCTGGTAACTGCAGCAGCAGTAACAGCAGCAGCAATGCCAGCAGCAGCAGTGTCAGCAGCAGCAGCAAGAACAGCACCAGCGACGCGAAACTCAGCAGCAGGAACAGAAGCAGCAGCAGGAACAGCAACTGCAGCAGCAGCAGCAGAGCTAGCTGCAGCACAGCTAGTAGTAACAGCTTCAGCAGCAGCAACTGGACCTGCAGCAGCAGCATCAACGCGAGCAGCAGCTGCAGCAGTAACTGCAAAAGCAGCAGCAATGTCAGCAGCAGCTAAGCACCTCTCTGCTGCCGCTGAGTTGCTGCAGCAGCTGCTGCAGCAACTTTTTGTTCTAATGTTTTTATTTTGTTTTTTTTAATTTTTAATTTTTCGTTTTTTTTTCTTTTCCCATTTTTGCTTCTCCAATTAGATCCGAGTTTGCCTCTGGGATGTAATTGCTGCTGCTGGCTGAGCAAAACTTGCCCACAGCAGCAGGAGCAGCAGTTGGAGTAGCAGCAGCAGCAGCAGAAGTAACAGTTCGAGTAGTAGCAGCAGCAGCAGTTGGAGTAGCAGCAGCAGCGGCAGAAGCAACAGCTCCAGTAGTAGCAGCAGCAGCAGTTGGAGTGGCAGCAGCAGCAGCAGCAGCAGCAGGAAGCACAGTAGCAGTTGTTGAGTTGCTGCTGCTTCAGGCTGACATTTCGTACCCAGTTCAGTGCAGCCACAGCCTAGGGTTTAGGGTTTAGGGCTAAATCTCTACTAATATAAATTGCCTTTTATTTATTCTTCTCCTCATTTATCAAGTACTATTCATTTATTTATTTATTCATTTATTTTAATTTAGTTTATTTTGTTTTTATAAATTAAATAAAAACTTCGTCGTTTAAAATGCAAAGAGCTGCCTATACACCCCAGCACAGGCAGCAGCGCGAAAAGAAGCCCCAGATGCACCAAAGCCCTAAACCCTAAACCCTAAACCCTAAACCCCAAACCCCAAACCCTAAACCCTAAACCCTCAGCCCTCGTTGAGGTGTATGTACACCTCGGCTCGCACCCGCGTGCTGCCAAAAAGTTCATCTGTTTTTTTTTCGGATTTTCTCTGAAGATTTTCTTTTATAAAAGATTTAGTATTTGAATTTAATCCCTAGGTGCTGCTGCTGCTGCTGCTGCTGATTCTGCTGCTGCTGTCTCTCCTTCCTTTGTTCCGTCGTCTCCATTCCCTTCTGCTGCTGCTGCTGCTGCTGCTGCTGCATCTCTTGCTTCTGCTGGGGCATCTCCCTCTACTGCTGCTGCTCCATCTTCTGCTGCTGCTGCCGCACCTCCTGCAGCTGCTGGCGCATCTCCTGCTGCTGCTGGCGAAGAAACCTCTTCTGCTGCAGCACCGTCAGCTGCTGCTGCTGCTGCTGGCTCAGCAGCAGCAGCAGCAGCAGCAGCAGAAAGCTCCTCCTCCTGCAGCGGCTGCGGGGGAGGCACCTGAGAGCCTAGGGCCCCCAAAAGGCCTGGGGGGGCCCTGTGTGTCTCTTGGGGTTCAAGAGCAGCAAGTCTTGCTGCTTCTGCTTCTGCTGCTGCTTCTAGCTGCTGCGGCAGCTGCAGCAGCTGCGGCCGCAGCAGCTGCTGCTTCAATGCAGCAACGCGACGAGCTGCTTGCTGCTGCACTAGCTGCTGCATCTGTTCTACAGTGCGAATGTACGTGATGGGGCCCCGGGGAGGCAACTGCGCGCAGCAGCAGCAGCAGCAGCAGCAGCAGCAGGTGACAGCAGCAGCAGTAGCAGCAGGTGGCAGCAGCAGCAGGAGGGGAAGAGAAAGTGAGAGAAGGGAAAGTGCTGGAGGACAGGGAAGAATATAAAATGAAGAAAGAAATAATTTGAAATTGTTTTTTAATTAATATGCATTTGTGTTTATTAAACGCACTTGTCCGAAATGTTCATAAAATGCATTTACGAAAAATGTGAAAACATTGGCTGGTCAAAAGAAAGAAATAAACATTAAAAGAAACAAACATTAAAAGAAATAAAAATTAATTATAAACAAACATTAAAATCGAAATAAATAGCGTTTAAAAGAAGACAAAAAATAAAAGAAATGAACAATTTATTGGGTCGCGAAAAGAGGAAAAAGGCGGAACTTGGGGTGTACAGACACCGAAATGTCGCCAAAAGAAGCGCCAAAAAGAGAAAAAGAAACTCAGAAAACGAAAAAGACTTTTCCTTTTGTTTCTAACCGGTTTATTTTCATTAACGGCATTAATATGAGCCCTCAAAGTTTCGCGAAAGTCAGTTTCGTCGAGGTGTAGAGCCAGCTCAAGGGGGTAGCGCGCCAGCTGTCTGAACACCGGAAGCAGTTCCACGCAGTTGCTGAAAAGCGACCACCGGCCAAAAATATAAAGTCCTGAGCAAAACCAAAATAAAAAAGAAATAAAAACAATTAAATATCTTTTTTGCGAAAAAGAGGCACTTCAAATGGCCAAAAAACTCAAAAGATCGGGCTCAGCCGTCTTTTCGGCTTTCCGCCGTCACTTCTCGTTCTTTTGCCGCGAATATTCCGTCTCTTTTTTAATTTTTGAATTTAATTCATTTTCATTTATTATTTTATTCATTTAGAAATAAAAATCCCCAAAAAGCTGCACAAATCGGCGGCCAGCGCCGCCTCGAAAATGCTGTGCATGCAGTGTACATACACCGCAGACACCGGCACGGGCGAGCGGTACATACACCGCAAATGCACTATAAACAATACACCATATTTTCAATTTAAATACACTATCAATAATATATCATAAATAGACAATAAATAAACAATTAATGGACCATTAATGGACCATCAATGCACCATAGATAAACCCTTAATGGACCATTAATGGACCATTAATGGACTGCAGATACACCGCAAACGTATCTAAATACGCCGTAAATACACTGTAGATACACCGTAAAAGGAAGAAACAACAAAAAATGGAAAACGAAAGAGGGGGAAAAATAAAAAGAAACAAAAAGAATAAACCAAGCATTAAGGGGGAAAAAAAGCAACAAAGAAGCAACAATAAAAGGAGACAAAATAAGAAGAAAAAGAAATAAAAAATAAAAAAATAAATAAAAAAAGAAAAAGAATTCACCAAGTCTGGCTCTGCTGACGGCGACAATAAGGCGGCGAACATCTCGAATGTGACCCACGCGGTTTGTGCGCACAAGAGAAAGCAAAACATCTGCAAAAACAAATAAATAAAATAAATAAATAAATAACTAAGTAGATAAACAAATAAATAAGCAAACAAGTAAATAAAATGAAATTAATTGGTTGAACGTGCAGGGTAAAAAGGGAGAAAAGAATCGAAAAAAGAAGTCGAAAAACACCCAAAACCGAACAGCAGCACGCCCCTCCGCTGCAACAGGAGCAGCAGCAGCAGGAATACCAGCAACAGCAAAACCAGCAGCAGCAGCACCCCTACCCCACCGACCCCGCGCCACAGCCCCATCCCCAGCCCCATCCCCACCATCAGCAGCAGCAGCAGCAGCAGCACGCCCCCCTCCCCCCGGCAGCAGCAGCAGCAGCAGCAGCGCTCCCTCCCCCGCAGCAGCAGCAGCAGCAGCAGCAGCAGCAGCGCACAGTCCCCCTGCTGTCCCTGGAACTTGTCGACGGTGGAGACGGCCCTGGGGAGTCCAATGGCGGGGTTCCAGGCGCACTTTTGCTGCAGTATTTCCTGAAGAAGAGAAAGTTGTCCATTATAAGAAGTGAGAAGAACAATGCGGTCTTTGGGGTAGCCCAGGAGCCTGAGGTGTACGTACACCGCAACCACGAACTCGGCCTCGCCCAGGTTTTGGTAGAAGTGCGGCAGCGGCGCGCTCTCGCCCTGGCCCCCGAAGTCCTCGACATTGATGAATTGAAAAGCAAAACTTAGTCCCGGATTGCAAACTTTAAAAACTGCTGCTGCTTCCATGAACTCCAGCTGCTGCAGCACGGGGTACCGCCAGCTGTACAGACACCCCAGGCTGCCCCGCGCACGCCCCTGCCGGTCCAGGTACACCGAAGGCACCCCTAGACGCACGAAACGCTCAAACAGCGACTGGTCCAGCCGGCAGAATCGCTGCAGCGCCTGCAGCAGCAGCAGCAGCAGCAGCAGCAGCAGCAGGGGGAGCTGCTTCGGATGGGCCAATTTGCACGGCCCCGCGACACATACGAGCCGAGATGTAAAGCCCCATGCTCTTCTCACTGCTCAGCAGCTAGCTAGCTAGCTAGCTAGCTAGCCAGCTAGCTAGCTAGCTAGCTAGCTAAACGTATGGCTGGGTAGACTGATTGATAGCCAGGCAGGTAGCTAGCTAGCTGGACAAGTACGTAGGTGGCTAGAAGCTAGCTACTTGGGTTGCTGCGTAGCTAGGCAGCTAGCTAACTAGCCAGCTAGCTAAGTAGCCAGCTAGCTAAGTAGCCAGCTAGCCAGCTAGCCAGCTAGCTAGCCAGCCGCCTAGCTAGCCAGCTAGCCAGCTGGCTAGCTAGCTAGCCATTCAGCTATTCAGCTATCCAGCTATCCAGCTAGCCAGCTGGCCAGCTAGCCAGCCAGCCAGCCAGCTAGCCATCCAGCTGGCTAGCTAGCCAGCTAGCCAGCCAGCTAGCCAGCCAGCTAGCCAGCCAGCTAGCTAGCCATCCCTGTTGGGCGTTACCATGTGCTTGACGATGGGGGGCAGCTGGTGGTGGTCGCCAATGAGGACGATGCGCTTGAGGCGGGAGGTTTTTGCTGCTGCTGCTTTCTGCAGCAGCATGGGAATGAAAGTTTCGACTTCGAGGATTTGTGCTGCTTCTTCAATTATCAAAGAGTCGAAGTTGAAGTCCAGCCCCACCAGCCGCTCCCGCGTTATCGCCGCGTGCGTGCACGTCATCGCCACCATCCGCGAGTGCGTCCTGCAGCAGCAGCAGCAGCAGCAGCAGCAGCAGCAGCAGCAGCGGGGCGGCGGCGGTGGGGGGGTGCGGCAGGAGCAGCGGGCGCAGGGAAGAACGGGTGGCGGCAGCAGCAAGGACGGGCGAACAGCAGCAGCGAGGGCGACACGGGAGCAGCAGCAGCGGGCCACACACCACAGCAGCAGCAGCAGCAGCAGCAGCAGCAGGACAAAGAGAGCTGCAGCAGCAGCAGCAGCTGCACTTGGCCTAGAGGCCAGCTCCGGCGGCCAGCAGCAGCACAAAATGTAGCAGCAGCAAATGCAGCAGCAGCACCAGATGCGGTTCATACGCGGCAGTAGGCATAAGCAACACCATCGCAGGCAGCAGCAGCAGCAGCAAAAGCACAGCACCACCAGCAGCAGCAAAAGCACCATCGCAACCATCATCGTCAGCAGCAGCAGCAGCAGCAGCAGCAGCAGGAGGGTTTACGTGAGGAGGAAGTCGGCTCTGTCTGCTGCAGTGCGCAGCAGCTCGAAGGCCCTGTAGTCCTGCAGCTGCTGCTGCATGCGCTCGAGGTAGCGGCAGCAGCTAGCAGCAGCAGCAGCATCTGTGTCTTTGTCTCCGGGAAAAAGCGGCTGCGGCGCGTCGCTAAAAAAAGAAGTGAAGGGAAACAAAAGACCTTCCAAACTCAATCCGTACTCGAAGTGCGCAGTCTGAGCAGCAGCAGCAGCAGCAGCAGCAGCAGGAGCTGCAGCAGCAGCAGGAGCTGCAGCAGCAGCAGGAGCTGCAGCAGCAGAAGCGGGAGCTGCAGCAGCAGAAGCGGGGGTTGCACTAGCAGAAGAAGTGGGAGTTGCACTAGCAGCAGCAGCAGCAGCAGCAGCAGCAGCAGCAGGAGCTGCACTGGAAGCAGCAGCGGGAGCTGCAGCAGCGGCAAGAGCTGCAGCAGCAGTGGCAGCAGCAGCAGCAACAGCAGCAGCAAACGCAGTAGCAGCAGCAGTAGTAACAAAAAGAACAGCAGCAAATAAAAGAAAACGAGACAAAAGATAGAGAACAAAATAAAAGGCAAAAGTGAAAAATAAAAAAAGAAAATAAATAAAAAAGCAAACAGACAAAAACAGGAGACGCAGCAACAAGAAGCAGCAAATTACATAAATTAATTACATATATATTGAATTAATTTAAATAACTAAAAAATAAAAAGAAATTAAAAACATTTAAATAAGACAAGCAGCAGCAAAAGCCCACCGCTGCGTCCACAGTGAAGTGGGTCTCTTCTGCTGCTGCTGCTGCTGCAGCAGCAGCAGCACTGGGGTCTTCCTCAGGTGTCTCGTCTGTCTCCGATTCTGTCTCTGTCTCTGTCTCTACCTCCCCCTGCTGCTGCTGCTGCTGCTGCTGCTGCTGCTGCTGGCGGCGTTTCTTTTTGGTGTTGCCAGCACGAGTTGAAGAGGGACGCTTCGTCCCTTGCTGCTGTTCCTGCCGCTCCTGCTCCTGCTGCTGCTGCTGCTGCTCTTGCTGCTGCTGCTGCTGCTCTTGCTGCTGCTGCTGGTGCTCTTGCTGCTGCTGCTGCTGCTCAGGGTTATTGCGTCTGCGGCTGGCTGGGAGCATGACGAATATTCTGCTGCCTCTTTCTTGTTCGTATCTTTCAATAGCTGCTTCCACCTTTTTGCGGATCTGCTGCTGGCGCTGCTGCTGCAGCAGGGGGTCCTGCTGCTGCTGCGAGTCCTGCTGCTGCTGCTGCTGCAGCAGCTCGTTGATGTTGCTGAGGACTGCCATGTATCTTTCTATTCTAAACTGAATATGGTATTTGAAGAATTGCTGCGCAGCCTCGCAGCTGGAGCTGACGTCTCCGACGGAGACAGGCGCTGCTGCTGCTGCTGCTGCAGTGCCTGCAGCAGCAGCAGCAGCAGCAGCAAGCTCGGCCTCGACGCACTCGCCGAGCCGGGCGATCTGCTGCAGCAGCAGCTTCCGCTGCTCCAGCACTTTGTTAACTCTGCCATGTTTGGAAAAGGAAAAGTCTTCTGCGTCATTGCTGCCTTCGAGGGGCATGAGGAGGTCGTCTTGCTGCTGCTGCTGCTGCTGCTGCTGCTGCCAGAGCTGCTGCTGCTGCTGCAGGTCCAGCGAGCCTCTCCCGAGGCGCAGCAGCTTCGTTTCGTCCACGTCCAGTGCTGCTACTTTTCTAAAAAGATCATTTAATGCACTATTTGAATGAGCAACCAACAAAATCCTTTCTTCTGGATTTCCTTGGTGCAGCAAATAAGCCAGTTGTGCTGCTGTGTCTGTCTTCCCGCTGCCCGGCGGCCCCACCACCAGAGTCACTCCCGGCTGCAGCCCCGAGATCAAAGCCCGCACCTGCGCCGGCGTGAACCTGCAGCAGCAGCAGCAGCAGCAGCAGCAGCAGCAGCAGCGGCAAAGGCGGGTGAGGGAGGTGATGCAGTGGGCGTAGTCGCAGCTGTAGGGGTACTGGCAGCAGCAGCAGCGGCACTAGCAGCAGCAGCGGTGGTCACTCTAGCAGCAGCAGCAGCAGCAGCAGCAGCAGCAGTTGCAGCAGCAGCAGAGGCTGCGTCTGCATAACACTTTTATAATTGTTCAAAGTGTGCTTTTATCTTTAGGTCGCGGAAGCAGCTGTCCATAAAAGCAGGCTTTCACAAAACGCATGCAAAGTGCAGATACACCGCAAAGTGTGAATTCTTGGCCAAATAAAAGTACTTTTTCGAATTAAGTATGCAAAAATTCCATTATAAATTAAAATGAAGTGAATATATAGAGAAAAATAGAATATAAATCATTTAAAATGAACAAAAAGGAGAAAAATGGACATGGGCACGCACGCGCTTGCAAGTGGGCATGCACAGCGCTGAGGTGTACATACACCCCAGAGTCCGCAATTTGAATTCTTTTTCGCAGTTTTTCAATTTAATAAATTCATTTTGTTTATTTTTAATTTTAATTTATTCATTTGGTAATTAATTCCACATTTTATTTTAATTCTTCTTTTGAAAATTAAATCCAATTTAACTTTAAAAAAACTATTTATTTGTTTTCTTCATTTATTGAAGTCGAATTTATTTCTCCAACTCTACACTGGATATAAATCCAAATTGCCTTTTTCTAAATTTAATTTTCTTTAAATTTGAATTTAATTTAAAACTAATTTGAATTTAAATTTAATTTCAACGTTCCAATTAAGTTCCACATTTAATCCATTTGTTTTTAAATTCGCAAATATAATTTGTTTATTTCTCCTGCACTTCAAAAGACTTATTGTATTAAATTCAATTAATTTATTAAATTAAATTGAGTAATTTAATTCAACTACTTTATTAATTAATTAATCTAATTAAATTAATTAAGTATATTAAATTGATTAAATGAACTAAATTAAACTAATTAATTCGTCCCACCTGATTTTATTTCTTTTTCTTTTGCACTCTTTGTAAGGGCCGTGGTTGGGCAAAGTGTATTTCCTGAAAATAATATGATGGTCCTTCGTGAGATCCCCTTCCAGCTGCTGCCCGCCGCTGCTGCTGCTGCTGCTGCTGCTGCTCTTCTCGCCCTTCTTCCGCGGCCTGAACTCGAGCCTGTAGTACGGCTCCTTGTCCCCCTGCTGCTGCTGCTGCTGCTGCTGCTGCTGCTGCGGGTCTGCGTCGTCGGGAAGAGTGATGCTTGCTGCTGCGGGAAAGGACTCGCGCATGTGCTGCAGGTCGACGAAGGTGTCGCGGAGGTCGAGCGCATGCATGCGTGTGGGGAGTCGGGTGTACGTACACCCCGCGGGGTCGCCGTAGCCCAGGAACAGGTCGTGCATCCAGGGAGGCACCACAACATCTTCGGGATGGTTCATTATGTTTCGAATTGTTTCCAAAATGGATTTAAAGTTGTTTTGTCGAGCACTTCTCCGCATTATGATGTTCATTTGTGCAAACAAAGAAGACACTCCTTCCTCCTTCAGCTGCTCCACATCTCGGGTGTATGCGCAGCTGTCCAGCAGCACCCGCAGTGTACGTACACTCCCCACCGGCTTGTGCGCTGCGCAAACGCAAACTCTTTTAATTATTCTTTTATTTATTTTTATTTATTTTATTTTATTTTATTATATTGATTGTCTTTCAAATAAATCTCCTGTCCCAGTTGGAACTTCTTTATGTCCTCAAATAAGTGCAGTTTTCGCCCAAACAGATTCTCCTCCACAGCATAAGTGCGACATGTGCAGCAGCAGCAGCAGCAGCAGCGTAAATGCAGCAGCAGGACCCTAATCTGCAGCCAAAGCAGCGCCAGCAGCAGCAACACCTCCTCGCAGCAGCAGCAGGAGCACTCTACCGCTGCAGCACCCGCAGCAGCACCCTGTCGCTGCGGCAGCGCCCCATCGCAGCAGCAGCAGCAGCAGCACCCCATTGCAGCAGCAGCAGCAGCAGCAGCTGACGCTTGAGGGGGTTGGGCTCGGAGATGCAAACTCCTTCCTGGTCGAGCAGCTGCTGCACCTGGGCCCCCCGAACTGCCATAATGCCGAAAGTGCTGCGGACAGCAGCAGGAGCGAGGGCCTCGGGGTGTACGTCCAGCTGCTGCAGCAGCAGCGGCGGAGACACCGCCAGACAAAACACAACATCAAATTCTTTCAAAGAGTCCCATTCTTCCTTGACTTGCTTCCCGCAGCTCCCCAAGTCAAACACCAGCTCCGCATGCACTGCAGCGGGAAACTGCTCCCCCACCTGCGTCACGCCCACACCCCACGCCCCACCTGCTGCTGCTGCTGCTGCTGCTGCTGCTGCGGCAGCAGCAGCTGGAAAGGCGTTCGCAAAGCAGCAGGCGACCCAGACGCACACGCAGGCTGTACGCGCTAAATCATGGAACTGCACAACCAGCAGCAGCAGCAACAGCAGCAGCAGCAGCAGCAGCAACGGCAGTAGCAGCAGCAGCAGCAGCAGCAGCACGTACTTTCGGTGGCTCGACAGCTACGACGGTGAACCTCTCGAGCTTCAAAGCCATTCTGCAGGAACCCTCAAAGACAGTTTCGCCGCCAAGATAGTCTGCTGCGTCTGTTAGCAGCTGCAGCGGGTCCTGCTGCTCTGCTGCTGCTGCTGCTGCTGCTGAAGGATAGCTGCTAGCAACAGCGTTTGCTGCCAGCTTCCGGCGAGGCCTCAGCCGCCACAATGCGTCTTCTATTTCTTCTTTTATTTCGTAAATCGACTCCAGCCTAAAGACAGCACACTCCCCACAAAACCTGCTGCTGCTGCTGTTGGTGCTGCTGCTGCTGCTGTTGTTGCTACTGCTGCTGCTGTTGTTGCTGCTGCTGCTGCAGCTGACGATGACAGCAATGATGAGCTCAAAGCGAAACGGATGCGTAAAAAGGCAACAAAAGCAACGACGCGGCTTGCTGCAGTTTTGGCTGCTGCTCCTGCTGCTGCCCCTGCTGCTGCTGCTGCCGTTGCTACTGCTGCACGTGCTGCTGCTGTTTCTGCTGCTGCTGCAGTGGATACCTGAACAGCTGGAAGTTGCGCAGCAGGTAGTCGTGGACGGTGAGGAACTGGAGGTTGAGTTTGGGGAGGGCGAGGGCTTGCTGCTGCTGCTGCTGCTGCTGCGGCGGCAGCAGCACTTCGCTCCAGAGCTCCAACTCATCGGGGTATAAAGGCTGGCTGTTGATTTGCTGCAGCTGATCTTTTTGCCGCTGCAGTGCCCTCACGAGAACAGCAACAAGGTGCTGCCTGACCCAGGCTTTGCTGCGTTTGCGGCTGTCTGCTGCTGCTGCTGCGAGCTGCGGCGCGCCCGCAGCAGCAGCAGCAGCAGCCCCCGCAGCAGCAGCAGCAGCAGGCTCCGCCACCCCCGGCAGCTGCAGCGGGTCCAGCAGGTGCAAGTGCACACACAAGTCCAGCAGCGTCAGCAGCTCTTGCTGCTGCAGCAGCTGCTGCAGCCGCTCCCAGTCATCTATTGAGGAAATGGGCTGCAGCGCAGCATCTGCCAGTGCGCTGTTTGGCGCTGCTGTTGCTGCTTCTGCTGCTGCTGCTCCTGCTGCTGCTGCTGGGCTCCCTAGCTCGAAGCAGCGCCTCTGAAATGCCTCCACACGGTCATAGTGCCGCGCAATGCATGCAGTTGCGCTCAGGGGACGGCCTGCAGCAGCAGCAACAGCAGCAGCAATCGCATACAGCAGCAGCAGCAACAGGATACCGCAG